ATCGTGTCAGCCTATTTTCTCGCGACCAATGAAAAACCGGCACAGACATGGCCAGACTCTGTCTACAAGAGAACTCTAGATTACAAACATTGCAATCGGTGAAAATGTAATCTTTGTTCCTGTCTGTGACACTGTGGAGGCCGAAAATATGGGAACCAATCAGAAACGGATTCACATTGTCTTAACTCTCAGTATGAAGGAACTCTATTTTTTACTCTAGCGGAAGTTTGCAGTAGGCCCACTGGATGTGGGGGCATGTCCGCTGAATGCTTTCCGAATGTAAGTGCTTATGTCTTCACGCACTCATGTAACTCCCGATTACGAAAACCCACCACCGGGCGAACCGGCCCGGGCAGCCGAAATATATCGGTGACGCAATGGGGCGAGACCGCCAGACGCTGGAGTCTTGTCACCTCGTAATTTTTCGCTGACGCATGCGCCTTATAAGTCCTATTCGTGAACAATACTCCCAAGCTAAGGAAAAACGCCGTATGAGCCTTCAGACGTTGCCAAATTTTCTTTGGCAAATCGTATATTTTCCGGAAATTTTTTGAATATTTTTCTGGCAATTTCTCAGATAATTTTGTTTGTAATTCGATCTAAAGTGTCTGAGAATTGCAAGGAAAAATATTAATAATTTCTCTCAAAAGTAAAATTTTTATCCGGGGAAATTTGGCAACTCTGGAATGTTGATACAGCGTTGTTCCTTAGGTCGATAGAATAGTGGAGTTGCGGCGATGCTCGCTCCGGCAGAATGGTGGATAATCCGCCCATCGCTTTTTTGCCGACCGAAATTGAAATGGCTCCCAGGTTAAAACCGCCCCCGCTCTCCGCCCGATGAGCCTCAGCGTCCGTAGGAGTACGCGTGTCCCGCGGCTCACGAGGCACCGGAGATGTCGCGTTTTTAAATCGCACGAGACGATCACAATCGCCAGGTGAGTGAAATCGCAGTCTTCGTCATTACCGCATGCACCGACGCACGGTGGATCCAGTCCATCAGAGAGCTCGCACATGAAATCCTCTCTCTTCTAATCAAATCATTTTTAGGACGCTCCGTGAGCTAGGCAGGGTTGCCACAATCAGGGAATACCGGGCAGGGAATACCGGGAAATGTTAGGGAATTTTATAAAGTCAGGGAAACCGGGAAATGTCAGGGAAAATGTGTTAAATCTCCTATATTTGCTTTCTAAAATGGGTTTGGGATTTCGAACTACAAATTTTGCCTGAAAAATATTTTCAATAATGTCCTCTTAACCATTTTTTTCATATCTCCAATGGGGATGGAGATGTTGCATGTGTGAGGAACTTGCGATTTGACTGTTTATTATTATGTAAAAGTTCGCGAGAAACACGATGGTGCTACTGGTTTTCTCTCAAATCAACTCCCAAGCTCAAAAAAAGCTCTCAAGTTGAGGCCAAAATGGAGGGGTTATCCCAGGCTATCCTGAGAGCCCACTTCTACATCAAGACAAACTCTCCATGCAAAGATAGGGAGCAAATATATTGACAGGGCTGCCACTTTATTTGGGGACTCCAAAACTGAAAGCACTGCAACCCTGTTAATGTATTTGCCCCCTATCTTTGCATGGAGAATTCGTCTTGATGTATAGGTGGACTCTCAGGATAGCGTGGGATATCCCCTCCATTTCGGCCTAAGTTTGAGAGCTTTTTTTGAGCTTGGGAGTCAATTTCAGAGAAAACCAGTGGCACCATCGTGTTTCTCGCGAACTTTAACACGAGAATCAACAGTCAAATCGCAAATCCCTCACACATGCAACATCTCCAGTGTCAGGGAATTTCACCAAAATGTGTCAGGGAAATCAGAGAATTTCATTTTCCAAATTCTGAGGCAACCCTGGCTGGGGTGAGGAAACGGAGTTCAAAGTCCGTAAGTGGGAAATTCCCGTAAGTGGAGTCCAGTCCGTAAGTGGATTGATGGTTTCTTTTTTTCCTTAATAATAACGTGGTTTTTTTCGTTTGAGATTCTGCCAGCCGCGAAGCAGTCCCTCGGGAGCGCGCAGCACCCCGAGGGTTGGGCCGCGTAGTGGTTAGGTGGCGGATTCTTGCAAATTTTGTTGTTTATTTCGTCTTATTTTAAAGTTTAAGGGGTGCTGGTTCAGCTGGAAAAACCATCTTTAGAGCCTCAAAGTTGTGCATAAACGGAGTTATAAGCTTTCAAAGTTTTCAAACTGTGTCCGACCTCTCCTATTGACTCTGTCCTCTGTGCGACGTTATCAGGCTGATTGTGAGCGCCGTCTTTGTCCGCGCAGACTATTCTTCGATGAGTTTGCGACAAATCGAGTTCTTTCGCGTGGCGGTCTGAATTCGATCGACTTGAATGGATCGGAGAATAAAAACTTGAACCGATCGACGCGATTTGATGGACATCGATTCAATCGAAAAAATACACGATTGAAAGATGTGAATCGATCGGAAAACAAAAATGTGAACTGCGCGGGCTTATTGTTAAAATCGATAGACAAAGCTATAGACAAAGGAGACATAGGGAGTATGGAGCGAACCTATTGGTTGAAACGGGTGATTCCTGTAAGGGAGAAAATGAAAGACCAATTATCGGGTCTCCTGTGGGTTGTCGTAGTTAGTTTTATAACCTATCCTCTTTGTCCATTGCAACCATTCGCTTCCACCAAGAAGATCTTAGCCTATAGCTTTGTCTATCAATGTCAATATTCGGCCCGAAACCGTGTACTGCTGCATGAGGGAGAACGCCACATGAGCCTTCAGACGATGCCAAATTTTCATTGACACATCACAGATTCCCGGAGAAAAATTGTAATTATTTGTCCTCTAATTTTTCACAGAATTTTATTTGTGGTTTCATCCAAGAGGTCTGACAATTTCTATGGAGAATACGCATGACTTTCCTCGAGGATAAATTTTTAGAGCGTTTTTCCTCAGCGCGGTAGTAGAACCCCGGTTATCCGCGGTCGAATTATCCGCGATCGTATGGAGCAGAGGGTGTGGATTCGATCGACATGAATCGGTTGAAAAATAAAATCGTGAATCGAGCGACGCGATACAATCGACAAATGGTTAAAAAAACCAGTGTCGATTCGATAGACATGTTCCATCGAAAAACAAAGCGTGAACTGATCGGCACTTGGATTAAAAAGGAACCAGGAGCATTGCAATCCCCAAGTCCCGAATCCATATATTCCTTACACATGTGACACTGTGAAGGCCCAAAGTACGGGAGCCAATCAGAAATGGATTCACATTGTCTTAACTCTGCGTAGAAAGGGACTCTATCAGGGTTGGACTGGCTTGCGCCTAAGGGGTGGCGGACCCCTGAACCACCCCCTTGGGTGGTTCAGGGGTCGTAATGCGATAATTCCTGGTAGGGCATCTCTTACGTGGAGAGGGATTCAGAAAATTTTGGCAAAGCAGCATAAGTTTACGCTATTTTCAGACTCAAAGTTTCTCACTCGTACAGAGTAAAAATTGCAAAACTAAACGCACTGAAGTACCCACCAGACGTAAATAGCCACTAGACGCATCCAAGCACCATTATTTCCGAAAGAACCGAGCCAGTGCTGCGGTTTACTCGGGCTTAAGACGTGGGTCTGCAAATGTATCCTAAAAAGAATCAGACAAGAATCTGAAAAAAGAAGAAAGAACGAGTATCAACAAGGCCGCAGACAAGAAAGACGTATTCGGGCCTCTTTTTTAACTTTTCTCCCAAATTTGAGCGATACCTCATTGACAGCATGCAGAACATTGGGAGCTCACGCCTCGCGTCATCGCGCCTTCAATTTTTCAGATGCAGCACGGACGTCCATCAAGTACGAATAGTTGTATCTCTGCGCCGTCGTAGATGCGCATCCTTTCACTGGCTTTACTCCCATATTGTGTTTGTTTCCGTTTGTCTTATTCGTAATGGTGCTTCAAGCACTACGTGAGTAACACAGCCAAAGGTAAAGGAGATGTTTTCGGGTATCTTTTTAACTTTTCTCCCGAATCTGAGGAACACACCTCATTGACAGCATACAGAACATTGGGAGCTCACGCTTCGCGTCATCGCGCCTTCAATTTTTCAGATGCAGCACGGACGTCCATCAAGTACGAATAGTTGTATCTCTGCGCCGTCGTCGGCGCGCATCCTTTCACTGGCTTTATTCCCATATTGTGTTTGTTTGCGCTTGTCTTATTGCTTCAAACTAGTAGCAAAGAGCAGAGCATTGCGAGTTCACGACTCACGCCATCGCGTCTTAAATTTTTCATATGCAATGTGAACATCCATCTTGCGCGAATAGTTGTATCGCGTTTGCACTTTAGATGTCTTATTTTTGAATTTAGAACCCAAGATATAATATAATATGTCTCGATTAATGGTCATTTTGAAAAGGAAGAAATATGTTTAAAGGTCTCTTAAGAGGTCTGTAAAGAGTGCGTATGTCTAAAAATCGAATCGACAATCGCTTACACACAAGAAAGTTACACGCAGCGAATAAAGGAGGAGGAGAATAAAGCGCCTGTATGTCAACAAAGAGGTGAAAATTTCACAAAAAAGTGTTTACGCTTCAGAAAGTAGTTCTTGGACCCCTGTTCACCACTACCATGCGTAAAAGCACATTTCTTTACTCCTAACTCTCTCTCTGCTCCCGTTCATTTAAGAAATTTTCCGCATATATTCTCGGTCGTAATTTTTTTTCTCTTCTTATTTTGCTATGTGTCAGAGGGGCGCGTTTTCGGCGCGCCAAGTGGGCGTATCTGCCAATGGCAGATTGGCCTTATGGCCAGTCCGAGCCTGGACTCTATACGTTCACAAGGAAAATGATGTATCCACAGGAAAGCTGGCAACGTTGCAACGCAGGAGAGAGGATGTTTGTTTTGAAAAGGCTCCTCGGCGCTGGACGCGCGTGCGGGCGAGGGCCGAGCCGCGACGCCATTGGCGGATCCCCCTCTGACTAAGCGTCGTGACGTCACAAGCGAGTAGGAAACCACCGGAGCCGAGCGCCGCTGTTGTGAAGCGAGCCGAGGAGCGAATTAGTTGGTTTCCGACGCTGGATAGAGAATGTACTCGAACGGCCCACCGCGGAGATAGTGCTGCCAAAGTCTTTGTTCTCCCTTTTCCGTGTGTCCGAGTAATTTTATGTGTTTTCACCTCGCTCTACCAACTCATCGATCCCTGGATTAACCTGATGTAAGTCCCGATCGTGTTTGGTGTATTTCTGTGTGAATCTGTGAAGTTGTGAGCTCCTCTCCTTTGTTGCGTCGCTTCCAGGTTCAATGGAAGATTCCCCGAGCCTGCGTCGGCCATTAAGTGTTTTCTCCTGAAGTGTTATCTGTTTCATGTGCTTCTTGCCACGAAATTTCTGTGTTTCTCCGAGTTTACCCACCAAGGATTACAGTTCCGAAGCTGGATTACGTACCGAATTGATTCGAAGCCTGCTTCCGAAAGCGATCTTGCTTACTGGTGAGCCTACATATTGAGATCGAATTCATCTTTCGTAACTTTAAATTTAACCATTGAAATTTTCTGTAATATTTTTCTCGATCCGTAATCGTTTACCTTCGTCGAAATCTCCCAACTTAGGCCTTGTGAAAGCTCGCTCTCTAAGCCCATCGGATACGCATTTAGACGGCTGGCTCAAGACAGGTTCAAACTTGTCTCCATTTTGAATGGGTTTATTATTGTTTCGCAATTTCCTATTCTCTTCGATGAAAGTGCGACCAATTTCCTCCGCGTCTCTAGTTTAAGTGGTTTTTCTAATTTTGGAGGTTTGTTAGTCGTTTTGCTACCTTTTGACACCATTCCAGTGATTCCACTACTCATCATTAGGTCTCGACGAATTTTGGATTGTTATGCCTTAGGCTCTTTGTTTCACATGAGCATATTTGATGTATATCTCGTGTGTATTTCATCATTCAAAAGAGAGCAATTGAACCTTTTCAAATTTTTAATCAGTGATTTATCGTGTAATTTTAACCGACGCAATACCTCCCCTTCGTAGTGCGTTGCTGCCATTTTCCATGGAAAATTTCCGGATGTTGTGATGTCCATTATGCGTTGCGTTTTCTCATTTGTAGTGTCGTTAGTATTATTATTCTACGCATTTTGTATGTGGGATCAGCTATAACTTGGAAGGATTAAGGTGTTTGGCGCTGGATTACTGGCTATAAGATCTGATCTGGTAGCAGGGAAGCTGTATGGTGAGCCTTTCGATTGCGACCAAATTTTCCCTCTTCAATCATCATTTTTATTATTTTCTAACTTTAATTTGCCAATTATTTTTCTCAATATCCATTTATTTCACATTCTTCTCTACAAGGTTCAGAGAAGGTTTATTTGGTAACCAGAGGCTCAGACAATTTGTTCTGGTCTCCAATTTGCTAGATTATCTCCTTCTTCATTAGAATAAGCTATGCAAATTTCTCACGCAGTGAGGGATTGTTTGCTCATGGTATCTAGAGATCTTAGATTGCAGTCATATCCTTTTGGTTCAGAAACTCAACTTACAGGGAGATTGCCAATAGGTAGTACTGATCCCCTGTAATCTTCAGCAATTTTTCTCATTAATTGTTCCCAATCAAGGAAAGTACCTATCCTTCGGCATTTTGGGGGCCTTAAATTAGGTAGTGCGAATTTGCCTTCACTTTGTGCTGTGTCTATTTTTTCTCTTTAAGGTGATTTGATGGACGCCCTATTTTGTGTCAGAACAGCATGCGACCATTGGTTCCATTTTTTCAGCTACCCGTCATTTTTCTCCAATTTTGAGATTGCAATTCTGTTGTCAGGAGTCTTAAGCACTCACTTACCAATTTTAACAAAGAAATTCAATGTAATGAAGGCGTGGTTTTGTAGAGAGAAAACATCGCATTCGATACTGATATCGAAACTGCACTCGAATGCGATATTTTCTCTCTAAAGAAACCATGCCTTTATTACGTTGAATTTCTTTGTTAAAATTGGTGAGTCCTTTGGTCTCCTAACAACAGAATTGCGATCTCAAAATTCGAGAAAAATTACTAGTAGCTGGAAAAATGGAACCAATGAATGCGATATATCGCATGCCGTTCTGACACATATATGGAGTCCATCGAATCACCTCAATGGGGAAACTCAATTGAAGGCATTGTGTGTATTTTGTATCTGTATTGATCTCAATCTCTTATAATCCTGGAAGTCCCAGATGTTGCATGGCCCAATGTGCCAAATTCAGGTGTTCTAAAACAGGATGGATAGGTAATTTTAAATGCTCCTCCATGTAATCTGATTTTCCAGAACATTCTAACATTTTCTGTCCAGATTTCTTACGCGTCAAGTCTTGCATTTGAAGGTTTTGAGGAAAGAGTTCCGCAATTTTTCAATCAGATTTGTCCAGATTTCTTACGCGTCAAGTCTTGCATTTGAAGGTTTTGAGGAAAGAGTTCCTCAATTTTTCAATCAGATTTTCATTTGGGGGTGATGGAACAAAATCTTTTGGAACCTTGTGCTCATTTGTGCGAGGTTTTTCTGTAATCCTGGCTAAGCTGCTAGTTTTTAGGCTGCAGTAGAGTTGAATCTAAGTAAATCCCTAAGCTGTTGGACTCCATGCAAACCATTTTAGGTTTCTTTTATTTTTATGTTCAATGTACTTTCATGGCCTCTCATTTGCCCCGAAATTACCCATGAAAGTAGGTAAAGTCTCGTGTGGAGACGGGTGCTGTACAAACTTGTCTCTGATGTGCAAGCAGCTTAATTTTTCCTTCAATGTTAAACAGTCAATTCAATTGGATCCTATCCGTTGTGAGATTTTTCCTTACAGGCACATTGAAGTAGGCTTGCTCAATGAGAATGCTAGGTACTAACAACAGGCATAATCTGTATCAAACAGTGCAGAAGACCCGGAAATCCTCAACAAGGGGCCTCCTCACTCCTAAAGAGCAGGGAACAGAATGGATATAAAGCTATTGATTTAAAATTTTATCAGGGACAGTAAGACAGTTGAAAATAATTTTTGAAGCAATACCGCAAACTGTGGATCTTTTCTTGAAAACTTAGGTGACTTTCTCTCAACTTACGTGACGTATTTCTGTTAAAATTTTGAGCCTTGATGTTGGTTTGGTCTCCTTTTGAAAAATTGAAATTGACACAGAGGTTCTGAAACTGTAGTTTCACTGCAGATGTAAAAATCAATTGAGGTTTTGTTTCGCTGTCAATTATAATAACTGCAGTATTTTCTTTGAAGAATCAGCCAGTTTTTTTTCAAGCATGAATTTTTCACCATGCGAGGGAGAATCCATGCTGGAAAAACCACCGATTGATTCCTCAAAGAATACTACAACTCAGAATCTTGTGTAGGTATAGCTGTTTACTTAATTGTAATATGTAGCTGTAGAACTGATTTTGTTGATTGATTTGATGAGCGCAATGTTATTTGATTTGATGAGCGCAGTGGTAATTCAAAGTCTGCTACAGTTCTGCCGTGATGTAGATAACCCCCCTGTGCTGTTTACTTCATCGCAATTTTTTTATACAAATTTCACCCATCATCTTTGTAGGTGTATTAAATACTGAATCAAAATTATGTGCTACCCAAGTTTTAAAAATGCGTAGGTTGCCTTGCTAGAAATCATTTGTGAGGATTAATATTGGTATGGTGCCTGACAGTTCAGTGTAATTGCATTTTAGCTGGTCTATAGATTCGGTATTCCAAAATCGCACTGCCGTGCCAAGGAAGAAAGCCGTATGAATATTCGAGAGTTGCCTAATTGCCCTCGATAAAATACGTCTTTTTGATCTCACTCATGCTCATTTTTCCTTGAAGTTCTCCGATATTTTAGATTAAATTGCACACTAAATTGTCTGAATATTTTGGGAAATAATATTCACAAGTTTCTCAGTGATTTAGGTTTTTATCGAAGGAAACTTGGCAACGTCTGAAGGCTCACACTGCGTTTTTCCTCAGCACGGCAGTGCAGCCGATGCATATTCACTGTGGTGGCGATTTTGCAAGTCGGCAACACTGTAACACCGTTGCCTAAATCCAAAATCATAATTACAAATATCGATTTTAGGTGCAAACAGGCTACTCTGCTGAGCTAATCGTAAGCAAAAGCGCCGTATGTGCATTTGATTGTCGCCAAATTTCATCCATTTAAAAGTTTATTTTTCAGGAGAGTAACGATACATTGTTTTCGAAACCCAATTAATTTAGATGTAATTGAGAAGATGATGCTCTGAAAAATTGGCGGAAAAATGTTCACATATTTCCCTGAAAATTCGCATTTTATCTGAGGAAATTTGACAACGTCTGATAGTTTATACGGCGTTCTTCCCGAGCACGGCAGCACGTCACCCAGAATTGATTGTCTTACGTACATTTAAATTGAAGTGCCATAGTGCGATAGTGTTACCAAATTGCCAGTGGATCTTAGCAGTGGAAGTAATGTCCTTCTTGCTGTTTCTCTTCTTGAATTTTTGGGTTCAAATAGTCTAACGCGCGATGACCGCAGAAACTTTTTCCAATTTCTTGGAATAATTGCGGGACTGTAGGAAGTTAATGACGTGATGTTTTTAGGCAAGCTTCTTAGAACGTGCCAATCAATACCCAATATACTCTCTCGTCAACTTTGTCTCATTATTAATGAGGATTTCAAGTCGATGTATTAAGTCTATTGTCTGTTTTACCGTGCTTCGCTGCCGTGCTAAGGAAGAACGCCGTCTGATGAGCATTCCAGAGATGCCAAAATCTAAATAAAATGTACATTATTGAGGGAGGTTATGAATATTTTTCCTTGAAATTTTCAGGAACTTCAGATCAAAATACGAACAAAATTCCCTGAAAAATTGGAAGAAAAATACTTAAAAGTTTACCATGGAATTCGTGTTATATCAAAGATAATTTGGCAACACCTGAAGGTTCATACGGCGTTTTTCCTTAGCACGGCAGTATGGACGAATGCCGCGCGCCGTATGAGCCTTCAGAAGTTGCCAGGTTTCCTTCGATGTAGTATGGATTTTCTGAGGAGTGTGTAAATGTTTTTTTCGTGGATTTCAATCGCGATTAGATTCGTAGTTCGAAGCATCAGAAAATTTTAAGACCATATTCATACTAGGGGGCTACGCCCCCTGGCCGCTACGCGGCCCAACCCCCTGAAGGCGCTCCGCGCCATCAATGGGCCGCTTCGCGGCCCTATTTTTACCCTCCTATCGGTGTTAGTTTTATTTTTCCCCTAAAAAATTACGATGTGAGGTATACTTTACTTTTAGAATGAAATAATTTTTGGTTTTGATGAATGAAGAAACAAATCTTTTTTTTGAAGTCTAACGGACGCGTTTTGGAATGACTGCTTGATGAAATATTGCAGTAAAACAACGAACATTGATAATCAGGTAAAAGTTAATTATAACTGGGGACGGGGATCGAACCCACACCTTGATCTTAGAGGAAGTATCCGACGTCTTTGACGACTCGGCCACCGCTTGTCTTT